GAAGAAAAGAAGGAGGGGGGGAGGGAAGGTAGGAAGGCAGGAAGAGAGGGAGGGAAGAAGGAAAGAGAAAGAGAAAGAAGGAAAGAAGGGAGGAAGGAAAGAAAGGAAAGAAGGAAGGAAGGGAGGGAAGGAAGGAAGAAAGGAAGGAAGGAAGAAAGAACTTTTTAAACTACTGATTAACTGATTGTGTGTGTGTCTGTGTGTGTGTGTGTTTGGATGTCATTTTTATAAGTGCCACTGGAGTTCCGTCCCAACCATTGAACAAATTCATTCTAGGAAACACCTTTATGGTAGAGTAGGCTTAGAGAAGTACAGAAAAACTCTAATATCCTCTTTGTCTATGGAATGCATTTGCTGTAATAAATTTCCTTCAGAAAAAAATATTTCCAAAGGCTTTTTGAAGTGCTTTTAGCTGCTCTTGACATTTGAGTGGATGTATCTTTAACAATCATCACCAAAATACTAACTTTGTAAATTTAGAAAGCTAAATTCTCTAGTGTGGAATCATGGTTATAGAAACACTGTGTGTGTGTGTGTGTATGAATCATGGTTATAGAAACACTGTGTGTGTTTGTGTGTGTGTGTGTGTGTGTGTGCGTGTGCGTGCAGGGCGTGGGGGGAGGGGACTCTGTGGCTTGTGCTTCTGAGCCCAAAATGTTCTGTGTACTCCACCTCCCCATGGTTTTTGGTCCAAGCAGCACCATGCTGCCATGTCCCTGTCTCCTGTCCTCCTACTCCATCCTCATCTCTCTTCCTGGTTTCCCACTAGCTCCTTCTCCTGTGGGCTGCACATGTTCAAATCGCTGAGCTTCCACTGATTGCTTTAGAAAATTCTGTACACCGCAGGCACATCCATGACTATGTCCAAAACACTCATGGCTCTCGAAGCTGCACTTTTAACCTCTTGTTTTCCTTCTGTCTCTCAACTGTTGCAGCGGAACGTCCATTCCAGCATCCCAGCCTCAAGTCCCTTCCTCTTCAATCCAGGTGCATTTTTAAAGACTGATGTTTTGTTTTAACCCGTGGCTTAAAGTCCTCCTCGTCACCTAGAATACGGTTTGACTCTGTGTTCCCACCCAAATCTCATATTCATTTGCAATCCTCAGTGTTGGAGGTGGGGCCTGGAGGGAAGTGATCAGAACATGGGGGTGAATCCTTCATGAGCGGTTTAGCACCAGCCCCCTGGTGCTCTTCTCGGGATGAAGAGTGCATTCTCGTGAGATCCAGTCGTTACATTACGCAGCACCTCCCCTCTCTCTCTTGCTCTGGCTCCAGCCATGTAGGATGGGTCGGCTTCCCCTTCATCTTCCACCCTGATTGTAAGTTTCCTGAGGCCTCCCAGAAGCCTAGCAGAAACCAGCATTATGCTTCCTGAAGAACTGTGAGACAATTAAACTTCTTTTCTATATAAATGACCCAGTCTCTGGCATTTTTTTTTTTCTTTGGAGATAGAGTCTTGCTCTGTTGCCCAGGCTGGAATGCAGTGGCGCAATCTCGGCTCATTGCAACCTCCACTTCCCAGATTCTAGCAATTCTCCTGCCTCAGCCCCCCAAAAAGCTGGGACTACAGGTGCACACCACCATGCCAGGCTAATTTTTTGTATTTTAGTAGAGATGGGGTTTCACCATGTGTCTAGGCTGGTCTCGAACTCTTGAGCTAAGGCAATCCACCCGCCTCGGCCTCTCAAAGTGCTAGGATTATAGGCATGAGCCACCGTGCCCGGCCTTTGGGTGTTTCTTTATAGCAGTGTGAGAATGAACTAATACGACCTGCGAGCTGAAGTTCCTACTCCCATCTCTCCTCTTGTCCGTGATGATCTTTCCCAGCTCTTCTCTTTGTGCTCCCAGACACTGTCGACTCTCCAATCAACCAGGAATGTGTGTAGCTCCTCCAATTCCAGTGTTTTTCATGAGTCTGTGCCTTTGCATGTGCTGGCCTGACCCTTCTGCCCCAAGTGCCTTCCCTTTCTGATTCCTCTATAAATTCCACCTCCTCCTCAAAGCCTCATTCAGCGCAGTCATTTCTGATTTGGCCAGGCTCTCCTCTGCACCCCTCCTATTAGCACTATTTAAATTTATTTGCTTATGGTATTTGTTCTGCCCCTGGAAGGTGAACCCCTTGATTGATTTTCTCATTAGCATGATCCCTGGCATGTGGCATCTGCCTAATAAATGTTTGCAGAGTGGGTGCACGCATGGACGTCTGTGGATTTGGTTTATTGGCCATGGTTTCATGGGGAAAGCAACTGAGGGATGTAAGAAGTAAGTGCAACCCTAATAATTTAGTTAAGGCCAAAGGTCAATCTAACGTAAAATTAAGCCAACCAAGAGTACCCGTACTAGTTGAATAGTGTCCCCCAAAATTACTGTTCTTCTTGGAACCTTGGAATGTCACCTTATTTGGAAATAGGGTGTGGTAAATGTAATTAGTTAAGATAAGATTCTATTGGAGTAGGGTGGGTCTTTAACTCAGTATGATTCATGTCAATATAAGAAGAGGAAAAGAGATGCAGAGACAGAGACATGCAAGGTGAACACCATGTGCCAACCAACAGAAGCAGAGATTGGAGCAACACCTCCACAAGCCAAGAAATGCCGAGGGTTACCAGCAACAGCAGAAGCTAAGAGAACGGCATGGAACTGATTCTCCTCTGAAACCTTCAGAGAGGGTTTGGCCCTTCTAAGAACTCTGATTTCAGATGTCTAGCCTCCAGAGCTGTGAGAGAAGAAATTCCCATTATTTTAAGCTACCCAGCTTGTGGCACTTTGCTTCAGCATTCCTGGGAAACTAATGCACCACCTTCGCCTGAGTTCGGTAATTCCCTAAGAAGGAGTAAGGTGATAGGATGCTGATGAATTGTTGCATCTCTTTGCAAATGGGAAACAAGGCAAACCAGTTTATCAATGTGAAATGTGATATGCTGACTAACTGAAACTTCCTTCCTCCTTTCTACAAATGCCTCCAACATAGGGATGATGGTTGAGGGCCCATCTGACGGAAAAGGCACTGGTGACTGAGTGAGTGGCGAAGATTGTGGGTCAAGGCCAGAGTTATTTTCTGTCTTCTCTTTCAATTGATCCCACGAGCAATTTGGTCCTTCAAATGACCGTAAGATTCTGAGCGATCTGTGTGGCTACTTTAGCTCTAAATTCAGTGATTCTCAGAAAAGGGATAGGTCAGAGGAACAGAAAATGGCAAGGCTAAAAGAGAGGGGAAGGAGAAGAGCCTCAGGTCAGGGGGCAGCTGGGGGAAAGCAGGGGCTGGGGAGGGAAAGGCGGTGAATCCTGGTGTCTGGGAATGCCAGGCTTCCAGGAATCCAGAGCCCTCTTACCTCACTAGTGAGGAAAGGCCCAGGAGAATGACTCCCTGCCCCTGACCAGGCTTTGCCCACAGCCCCGGCCACCATGCTGCTTTATGTGTTTGTCTTTCTGAGATGCTGAGTTCTACCATTGCATTTTCAGCCTGACCCTTCAGTAGTGTCCCTCCTTCATCTCTCCTTTTTCTAGCTCTTTCTTCTTTCTACCAGCAGCATTTTCCACCCCAAAAACAAACTCTATAAGGCCATTTCCTTGCTTTCAGGTGTTAGGGCTCCCCATCATCCGTACAGGCAGCTCCCACCCCTGCGTGCCTCTCCAGACTCATGTCCTGCCTTTCCCTCCGTCTCTGCCCCGTCACGCTAAACTTCCTCCCATTTCCAGAATGCTTTCATAATGACCCCAGCCTTTCAGCCTGTTGCAGTCATTTGTCCTTTAAAGTCTAGATCAAATATTCGATGATATTTCAATTGGTTGTGTCCCTTTGTCCCCAGAGACCCCCCTGAGCAATATACTCATTCATACGTATGGACTTTTGAACTATTCCACGGCAAAAATTGTAAAATTATTAATAAAAGTTTTTGTTTCAAATAATATTATTTTTTTATCAAGAACTCTTATTATCATGGCCTCTACAATGCCTAGACTCTGTAATAAAATCTTAGCCCCACTGGGCTTGCAGATTCTTGGGAAGCTGTAATATAGGGAGTAAGAAATAAAACATCTCCGACCCAGCTTGAAGAAGTAAATGTTGGCACATTTTAATTGTAGAAAATGTCCCTTTTACAGATGTGGGATCTTTCACAGTCTTCCCTCAGATTAGCTCTCCCTGCTCCTCCCATCACTATGACAATGCACAAACCATAATAAGCAATGGAGACTTTCTCAAGAGAGCTTGCAGGAGTGAGCTTGCCAGTCTAAAAGCTTAGGATGATACGTCTCATTACAGAGCTAATTTTCAGTGATCTGATCATTAATGACTGGGCATTTCTTTGGACGCTTCTAAGTTTCTTAAGGATTTTTCTCTAACATACTCATTCATAACTGTCCTTTGCCTGTTTTCTTTTCTATTGGGATGCTGTCATTTCCTTCTTGTTTTGCAGGAGTTCTGTGAATTCTAGATAGCAATCCCCTGTTTATCATAGGTACAGTAAGAATCATCTCTTATTCTGTGATTTCTCAATGATTTCATTTACACTGTTCTTTGATGTATGGAAATTATCAATGCTAATGTAATCAAATTAATCACATTTCATCTTCTGACTTTGCTTTTGAAGTTTTACTGATTCAGTTGGTAATGGCAAAATGAGCCACTTTTAGATTTGGGCAGCTGATTACTTACAGAAGGGGGAAGAAAGTGTAAGTCAAAAGGCCGACATCCCTCCATCCTTGTTTCATACACCAAAAAGGGTGACAAGAAAACAGAAAAGGTCAATGACTGCAGTGAAATTGTGGGATGCCTCATTGCTGAGGAGCAAAGCCTAGACCACAGCTGAGTGGTTCATTGTCTGCAGCTCTGTAGGAGGCAGGGGTGAGACCGGAAGCCCTGGACCTCATTAGAACCCAGAGAAACCAGGAAGCCATGAGACACTGTCTCTTGACAGCCTCCCAGGGGAGGCAGGGCAGTGGGAGGGCAGTGGCCTCACAGCAGCTCCTCACCAGCCTCTCATTCTCTTGTGTTCTAGGAGAACCAGAAGGCACTTTGCCGAGACCGAGATTCAGCTGCAGGTCAAGCCTTTTCCTGCGTGGCTATGTGCAAGGTTGCCAGTAAGGACATGCCTTTCTCTTCCAGGATTGCTAGGATTGCATCTTAACAAAGGTTTTTTCAGCACGTTGGAGATAATTGTGTGATTTTCCTCCTTGAGTGTATGAATGTGGTGAGTTATATGGATTCATTTTCTGATTTGAAATGTCCTCAGATCAGAGCAACCCTCTTCATCACAATGAATGAGATATACTGTTGGATTTGGGTAGTTAGGACTTTATTTAGGTGGTTTGCTCCTACATTCAAACATATAACGGGTCTATGGTTTTCATTTTGGGAACTGTCCTTACCTAATTTTAGAATCAAGATTGCAGATGACTTATACAATGAGCAGTAGCCTATTCCTTCTACTTTCTAAAAGAACATGTGTGATATAGAAATTAACTATTCTCTGAAAGTTTGTCAGAACTCATGTATGAAACCATCTAGATTTGAGTTCTGGGGAAGAGGGATGGTCTTCAATGACAATTTCAACTTTTTAAATATTACCAGTCTAAACTTAAAAAACTTTTTCAACTTTCAATATAGATGTTTCAGTTATGAGCTTTATAAAAATCTTTTTTGAAATTCAGATGACTTTTTTCTGCATTCTTTTTTTTCTTCTTTATTTTTACTTTTATTTTTTTTTTATTATACTTTAACTTCTAGGGTACATGTGCAGAATTTGCAAGATAGTTGCGTAAGTACACACACGCCATGGTGGTTTGCTGCCTTCATCCCCCCATCACCTACATCAGGCATTTCTCCCAATGTTTTCCCTCTCCGACCTCCCCACCCCCCGCTATCCCTCCCCTAGCCCCCCACTCCCCAATAGGCCCCAGTGTATGATGTTCCCCTCCGTTTCCATGTGTTCTCATTGTTCAACACCCACCTATGAGTGAGAACATGTGGTGTTTGGTTTTCTGTTCTTGTGTCAGTTTGCTGAGAATTATGGTTTCCAGATTCATCCATGTCCCTGCAAAGAACATGAACTCATCCTTTTTTATGGCTACATAGTATTCCATGGTGTATGTGCCACGTTTTCCTTATCCAGTCTATCATTGATGGGCATTTGGGTTGCTTCCAGGTTTTTGCTATTGTAAACAGTACCACAATGAACATATGTGTGCATGTGTCTTTATAATAGATTTATTTATAATCCTTTGGGTAAATACCCAGTAATGAGATTGCTGAATCAAATGGTATTTCTATTTCTAGATCCTTGAGGAATCGCCACACTGTCTCCCACAATGGTTGAACCAATTTACACTCCCACCAACAGTGTAAAAGTGATCTTATTTCTCCACATCCTCTCCAGCATCTGATGTCTCCAGATTTTTTAATGATCACCATTCTAACTGGTATAGGGTGGTATCTCGATGTGGTTTTGATTTGCATTTCTCTAAAGACCAGGGATGATGAGCATTTTCTCATATGTTTGCTGGCTGCATAAATATCTTCTTTCAAAAATTGTCTGTTTATATCCTTTGCCCACTTTTTGATGGGGTTGGTTTTTTGTTGTTGTTGTTTTGTTTTGTTTTTTTGTAAATCTGTTTTAATTCTTTATAGATTCTGGATATTAGTCCTTTGTCAGATGGGTAGCTTGCAAAAATTTTTTCCCCTTCTCTTGGTTGCCAGTTCACTCTAATGATTGTTTCTTTTGCTGTGCAGAAACTTTTCCACAGTGAAAAGCCTCTTTTAATTTACAAAGAATGATTTTGAATATCAAAAGTTTATGTGCTAAAGTACTTTGTATGTGAAATGTGTACTGTACATTATGGAATTGGAAAGAATTCAGGTTTTTGTTTTTGTTGTCGTCGTTTTGTTTTTTGCCAAAATAAAATAAAGGCATCCAGCCTTTGGAGAAGATGGCACCATGGTTAGATACTGTGGAAAGCCCATTCTTAGTCATACCCCAAATAAGCCCGGAAGGAAGGAAGGAAGGAAGGAAGGAAGGAAGGAAGGAAGGAAGGAAGGAAGGAAGGAATCTGATGGAAGCAGAGAAGGTATGCCCCTCACTTTTCAGAGAATCCTCTTAGAAAAGGCTTGAATACTGGTGGAGTAGAAATGGGTAAGTAAGGCTTCGGGTGATGACTTGATGACACCTCACTGAATCTCTTCCACTCTTCTACAGGATTGAGTGTGCAATTGAATGCCCAGGTCCCCTCAAGAAGTAGTGGAGAGAAGGCCAAAGGACCTAGAGTAGCCTCAAAATGGTCACAAGAAAAATATCAAGTACAGGGACTATACTGATAAGGACTAAGTCAAGATCGGAATAATCTCAATTAATGGCAACAGAGATGGCCACTGGGGCTCATGTATCTCCAGAGAATCCAATCTGAGGAGGTAAAAATGATCCTGGATAAAGTTCTTCTTCCTGAACTTGACCTGAACTTGATTCACCCCAAGGATAATGGGGAACTGGACGAAAGGGAAGAAGAAGAGCCTTTCATTTTATTGTTTTTACTCATAACATGTCTTATTAATCATTAACTGCTTGAGTTTACATGAAAAGGTTTAGATTACTTTTTTTTTCATCAAGCAGATCGGGAGCTCAAAATTACAAAGTAGAATGAATTGCAGAACTTTCTTAAAGTAACCTTTGTAGAAACTTGCATAGATAGCCTGTATAATTCACGACTGGTTTACACATTTTATTTGACATTTCTGCATTTTAAAAATATTTGACAATGAGAATCCTGTGTACTCATATATTTCTTGTGTATCTTTTAATAAATATCTTAGTATTGTAAAAAATAAAAATAAAAAATAAATATTACCAGTCTATTCACGTTGTATTTTTTTTCCAGTTTGGCATTTTAATTTTTTCTGGAAATGAAGCCACCAATAAAAAGCTTATTTTTAGACTGTGGTTACTTATTTTTATTACTTATTTTGATTATTTGCCTCCTCTCCCTCCCTCTATCTTTCTCTTTCACTCTCTCTTTCTCTTTCTGTATCAACCTTACCAGCAATTTACTTATTTTAATAATCATTCCCAAGAACCAGCTTTTGGTTTGTTCATCTTCTTTGTTGCTTTGTTGTTTCTCTGTCTGATTTCTGCCCTGTCCTGTAGTCTACCTTTCTATCTTGTTTATTTGGATTTGCTCTACTGGTCTTTTTTCAATGTGTTGAGATGAAAATTTATTTTTAACATTCTTGTTTCCTGATAAATGTAAATTGATGACTGTCATCTTTGGAGACAACTTTAGGTGTGTTTCAAAATTCTGACATGAAATGCTTTCATTATCATTCACTTTCATATATGTCTTGATTTACTATTTCCTTCTTAACCCATAGGCTCTTTAGTAACATATTATTTAGCTTCCAAATATATGGGATTTAAAAATTAGCCTTTGATGTTAATTTCTAACTATGTTGTGTTGTGGTTGGAGAACTGAGTATGCAAATGTTAATTCCTTAGAACTTCCTTTATGATGGATGGTGTGCATGTTTCTGATAAGCTCTTTAGATTTGGTTGAAAAGCACTTGTCCTTCTTTTGTTTATTTGATATTGAATTCTATATATATCTAACATCTCAAGTTTATCAATGGCATTGTGGAAGTCTTTGTATTTCTGCTTATCATGGTTATTTCTTGATTAATTTGTTGCTTGATTAATCTGTTTCAGGGAAAGATGAGTTAAACTCTCTCATACAGTTGACTTGCCTATTTCTCTGCCCTTTCATCAATTTTTGCATCTTAGATTTTGAGGTTGCGTTGTTTGATGCCTATATGTTTGTGTGAGAGATATATTTTTCATTCTATTGCACCTGCCACAAACATACAAATGTAAAACATCCTTCCATTTCATCAGACATTGAAGTTTCTACCTCACTTTGTTCTGGCTTGTATTTAACCGGTTTTTTTTTTAAATAATTTTTTTCATTTCCAAGCATGACGTATCCTTTTCACTTAAGTGTCTCTTGTAGACAACATATTCTTGCAAATACCAAAGACCGAGCCTTCATGACCTGATCAACTTGTGAAGAGGTGAGGACTGACTTCCAAGTGGACAGTCCTGAGCAGCCCAAGCCGTGGCATCCTGCCTGCTGCCACCACAGCCTTAGCTTGCTCTTCTGGTCAAGGAGAAGCAGCAGAAGGGGCAGTCCCTGGGGTGAATATTGATCAAGTCTGTTGGCTTGGAAGAGGGTGTGAGAACAGGACTGCTCAAGAGGCAGGGCAGCCACCACCTGTTCCCACCAGACTCCTCAGAACCCTCCCAGCAGGGCTTCTGCCTTGCCCCATGGTATCCTATCCTAATACAAAATCAGCCAAAGATGGCCTGCCTCTGTGTGTTGGCCTCAAACTTGCTTATTTCTTCACTGCAGGCTGAGACCCCTTAACTCAAAAGCTTTCTGGTGCCAAACTCAGATTTATACATATCCAATTACTTTAAAAACAGCCCAAACAAGCAAATTTTTAGCCCTGAGCCTACACTGCTTTTCAGACAAGATTGGGTGCATTCAGGGTGGTGTGGCTGTAGACCCATACTGCTTTTCAGAGTTACTGAGCAGCATCACATAGACATGGAGGCCCCCTCTTCCATTCCCCTCTGCCCCAGGAGTTCCCCTGCCTCCCTTCCCTTGTGAGTAGTGACCCCGCAAAATCCAGCTGTGAGGGGCGCTCTCCACAAGCAAAGTTGTCAAAGCATCCCCGGACAAAGCTTGTGTGTGCTACTGCCCCACTTGGTAATATCTTTTTCCTAGATTAGCCCCTCAATCCCTCGAACCCTTACTCTGGTCAACACTGGAAGCAACAGCCCAGGCGGTGGTTGCAATGTCTGCAGTAAGGGAGCAGGTGGTGACTGTGCCAAGGGTATGCTGGCAGGATTTGAGAAGCTGTTCTCTAAGCCATCCTCTTGCCGCTGCCTCTTCCCATCTCCCATGCCAGGCTAAGACTTCCACCTGCCCCAGACAGTAGTTTAAGGAAGCATCTGCCCTCCTCCCCAGGGGCTTCTCTTGGTTTCACTGGTAGTGTTAAAAACATGATTTATGTCTTTGCTTGCTCTCTGGCTTTTACCAGTTAAAAGAACATTTCTTTTCCTGTTATCAAAGCATTGCTCCATTTTTTTAAGTAGAGAAACTTTAAAAAGTGGAACAAAAATGCAAATCTTTTTCATCCAAGACATGTACAGTTAACAGTTGGGGGCATTTTCTTCAAATCTTTCTTCTATTCATTTTTTGTTTTAAAGTTATTATGATCATGTGGTACATTCAAAATTGTGCATAATGACATTCAAGCCTATTTTCCCTGCTTATAAAGAAATTGCAGGCTCATCACAGAAAAGCTGCTTCTTGGTGATGTATTGACTGTTCTCATCTGAAAAATATCCAGAGATTCAGGCCCCTCATTATGAGTTGTGAAGAGGCAGAGCGTCACCACCCTAGTTTTTGGCAGTGAAAATGGCCATTATGTTATTCTATGCATTCATGCTTTTTTGGATGAAAAGAAACAATCTTTTCGTTTAGCTGTTCTCATGGCACAACCACATATAGCTTGGCCATTGTTGGCAAGTGTTAGAGCAGAATGGGCACATATATATATTATTTAAGTTTAAGTTCTGGGGTACACGTGCAGATTGTGCAGAATTGTTATATAGGTATACACATGCCATCGTGGTTTGCTGCATCCATTCCCCTGTCACCTACATTAGGTATTTCTCTTAATGTTATCCCTCTCCAGTCCCCACACCCCCTGCTATCCCTGCCCTAGCCCCTCACCCCCCAACAGGCCCCGGTGTGTGATGTTCCCCTCCCTGTGTCCATGTGTTCTCATTGTTCAACACCCACTTATTGGTCATTAGAGAATGGTCAGTTTTTTAAAGTAGTCATCAGGACTGGTAAGAGAGTCCAACTGAGTTGAGAAAACAAATGGCAGATATGGAGTTCTGGTGGGTTTCCTTAGACCAAGAACCAGAGGTACCCCTCCCCTCACTAGGCCTTGCACAATGTAACAGCCTTGACAAGACCCTAAGAAGGGGGATGAAAGACCCAGGTTAATGTTTCTACCAGCCAGGAAGAATGACGGTTCCATCAGAAACTGACAAAACTACAAAACACACCTGTGTGTCTGAAAAGAGAGTCACAACCACTGCAAACACACAAACCACCTGTACTCCTGAGTTTGTGAGACCCCTGAGGGCCTTTTCTTTTTCAGTGACATGCCAGAGGCAACTTGTACTGGTTTATGAGCCCTGATTTTGTGCAAATCTGCCTAGCTCCATGTGCAGTGAATTGGTACCTTGAAATTGACTATGGCAGTAGTAGTTACACTACAGAAATTGGCAAATATTACAAGTCAAGGTTTTTTTTTTCCCACTCCCAGAAGCCAATTGTTAATCATTCATGAGCACAACATTGCCTTTGATGTGCTATGTAGGAAAAACAAGTCCCATATAATGCAGGACTGGCAAAGTCCTTTGCTATACTCACGCGAACTACAGCTCCCCGAGTGAAATGCACCACCAAGAAAGAGCCCACCTCCCTTTCTCCTCTGTGGTTTCCTGAGTCTCATACAAGTGGGAAGAGAGAAGGAGATGGAGGTGAGATTTTAGGGGTGGAACATGCTGACTGCCTTAACCAGCAGCTCCCGTGCATTAAAGGAAATACTGCCAAATTATGTTGTTTGTAAAGAAAGTGCCATTTTCTTTTTTCTTTGCTCTCAAATCTATTTTATCAATTCATGTCTTAAATATGTTTTGTACCTGGGATGCAGCAATGTACCAGACAGACAAATCCCTGCCTTTAAACAGTTTATGTCCCAGGGGTAGAAACCATCAATAAACACACAAATTGGAAAAAAAAAGAAAAAAGAAGAAGAAGAAGAAAACAAAAGGCATCATAAGTGCTCTGCTAAAAATAAAACCAAGTCAGGTAACTGAGTGAGTGGAAAGGCAGCTTGGCTCAGTCAGGATGGTAGCCATGGAGATGGAGAGATGGCAGCAAGTTGAGAGTAAGAGCCAAAGACACCTGCCACTCCTGTAATCAGAAAAATGGAAATGTCGGTGTATTAGTCCGTTTTCATGCTGCTGATAAAGACATATCTGAGCCTGGGAATTTAGAAAGGAAACGGGCTTAATTGGCTTACAGTTCTACATATCTGGGGAGGCCTCACAACCAGGTGGAAGGCCGGGAGGAGCCAGTCACGTCTTACATGGATGGTGGCAGGCAAAGAGAGAGAACTCATGCAGGGGAATTCCTCTTTATACAGCCATCAGATCTGGTGAGACTTATTCAGTATCATGAGAACAGCACGGGAAAGACCCACCCGCATGATTCAATTACCTCCCACTGGGTCCCTCCCATGACATGTGGGAATTGTGAGAGCCACAACCCAGGATGAGATTTGGGTGGGTACACAGCCAAACCATATCAGTCAGCTTAAAAAAATATGCAGAAGAATCATCTACTTAAAATATGGAGCATGAATAAGTAAGAAGCACTTGGATGAGCTATCAAAAAATAACAGACTTTTAAATCTCCCAGAAACATTAGGAAAACACAAAAAGAAGGTGCTTTTAGAAAAGCCACATTTATTAGTAATTTTATGCTGTATTCTTATGTATTTTATTATGTTATAAATGCCAGCTTATATTACGTGTGCAGCTATAATGATTTAACCACAACACCTCAGCTTACTCTAGGATCACCCCTTCTATGTTCCTTTCATGCACTCAGTTCTGGAACTCAGTTTGCTCTCCAAATGGCAGTGGTGGC